ACAGCAACCTCCAACTCCTGGGCTCAAGTGAGTCTCCTGCCTCAGCCTCCCAAGTACCTGGGACCACAGGCGCCGACCACACGCCCGGCTATTTTTTGTTTGCAGCCATCATTGTTGTTTGGCGGGCCCGGGCTGGATTTGAACCCACCACCTTAGGTGTATGTGGCTGGCGCCTTAGCCACTTAAGCCACAGGCGCCGAGCTGATGCTACCAAATATTTAAGGAAAAAAAAAGCAGGGAAAGGTGGCTCAAGCCTATAATCCCAACACTATGGGAAGCCGAGGAGGGAGTGTTGTCTGAGCTCAGAAGTTCCAGACCAGTCTGAGCAAGAGAAAAACCCTGGCTATACAAAAAAATAGAAAAATTATCTGGGCATTGTGGCAGGTGCCTATAGTCCCAGCTACTCAGGAGGAATTTGAGGTTGCAATGAGCTATGATGACACCACTGCACTCCAGCCTGGGTGACAGTGTGGGATCCTGTCTCTTAAAAAAAGAGAAAGAAAAAAGAGAGACAGAGAGAAGAGGGGCAACTAGCAGTAAATACAGTAGAATCTCTGTAAGTTGACCATCCAAAGGACTGTAAGAAACTGGTGAACCTACAGAGGTGGTCAACATAAGGAACTAGGCCTACTGTATCGATATATACATGTGGTACATGTCTAGTCTATGAAAATTAGGTCAACTTAAGGTGGTTAGTGTAGGGAGGTGGTCAGCTATGGAGGGTTCTACTGTATATGGGAATAGGACATGGATCACTAAGTCCACAGGCTTGGATGGCTCATTTAAAGACAGGAAGCCCAGTCTCCTAGCCAGGAAAGATGCCTCTCAGATTCTATCTCTGGCCACCAGCTTGAGTTGTTCGGGTGTGGTGTTCTACTTCTAACTTCTGCCTCCACCTCCCAAGTAGCTGGGATTACAGTCGCCAGCCACAACACCTGGCTATTTTTTGGTTGCAGCCATCATTGTTTGGCGGCCTAGGCAGCAGCCTTCACTAGGTCAGCTCCATTGTATCTGTGCGTTACGATTGGAATGTTTGTCCCTTCCAAAACTCATGTGTGGTGGTAATGTGGGAGGTGGGACCTCTGGGAGGTGACTGGGCCACTGTGGTCCATCCTCAAGGATAGGATTTATGGTGTTATAAAAGGGTGAGTTCAGGGCCCTTTGCCTCTTACCCTTCTGCCTCCTGCCAAGTCTGGATGCAGCACAAAAGCACTCACCAGCCCAGACACTGGTGTCTTGATCTTGCATTAACATGATACCTAAATTAGATAAAGATAGTATAAAGAAATGACAGAACAGGATCTCTAATAAACATAGACACCAAAGTTCTTGACAAAAACTAGCGAATCAGGGCGGTGCCTGTGGTCAGTGAGTAGGGCACCAGCCCCATATACCGAGGGTGGTGGGTTCAAACCCGGCCCCGGCCAAACTGCAACAAAAAATAGCTGGGCGTTGTGGCAGGCACCTGTAGTCCCCGCTACTCAGGAGGCTGAGACAAGAGAATCACCTAAGCCCAGGAGTTGGAGGTTGCTGTGAGCTGTGATGCTATGGCACTCTACCAAGGGAGACAAAGTGAGACTCTGTCTCTGGAAAAAAAAACAAAAAAACAAGCAAATCAGTTCCAGCAACATAGGTAGATGTAAAAATACATCACAACCTGGTAGGATTTGTCCCAAGAATGCAAAGTAGGTTCAACATTAGAAAATCAATCAAGGCTTGGCACCTGTGGCTCAAGCGGCTGAGGTGCCAGCCACATACACCTGAGCTGGTGGATTCAAATCCAGCCCAGGCCCACCAAACAACAATGACAGCTGAAACCAAAAAATAGCCGGGCGTTGTGGCAGGCGCCTGTAGTCCCAGCTACTTGGAAGGCTGAGGCAAGAGAATCGCTTAAGCCAAGGAGTTGGAGGTTGCTGTGAGCTGTGATGCCATGGCACTCTACCCAGGGCGACAGCTTGAGGCTCTGTCTCAAAAAAAAAAAAAAAAAAAAAAAAGAAAATCAATCAATATAACTCGCCATGTCAACAGACTAAACAGGAAAAACTACATGATCATATCAATAGATGAAGAAAGTGCATTTGACATAACTCAACATCCTTTCACGATAAAAACGCTCAGCAAACTAGGAATAGAAGGAAACTTCCTCAACCCGGTTAAGGGCGTCTATACAAAACCTACAGTTAACATCGTACTTAATGGTGAGAGATTTGTTTATTTACTTATTTTTTTTTAGTGA